AGAGAGAGAGAGAGAGAGAGAGAGAGAGAAAGAGAGAGAATCCTAAGCAGGCTCCACGCTGAGTTCTATCCTACGACCTTGGGATGATGACCTGAGCCAAAATCGAGTTGGATGCTCAACTGACTGAGCCATCCAGGTGCCCCAATAAATCATATTTTTAAACAGTTTTTATTATTTTAAACAAAGCAGAGTACAAACCTGATATCACTAAAAGTTGGGTAAAGCTCACTTTCATAGCTGAAACGTTTCATGAAGAAATCTCTAATGCATTTAACATCTCTGTCAAAATACCTGCAAAAGGAAGAATCATTTTTGATATAGCCTTTGTTGCTCATGTTTTTCCTCATTAGCCAATGACAATATACTTATTAATGATATTGCTAATCATTATATGAAGAAAGATGTTACTCACAAGAAAGAAAAGAGACAAATCAGATGCCAGTGTGTTTGAAAAACAAAAACAAAACAAAAAAGCAGAGGAACTAATAGAAAATATAAGCTTTCAAAGGCATATGGTCCCTATAGTTAGAAAACTAGAGGCCTTCCCATACTGTAATAGACATACTAAGAGAAAATAACATGCATCTGAATCTCAGAAAAAAAAGACTGGGTCTGCAGTTAGGGGCAGGTTTCCACTTTTCCTCTTTAGTCTCCAGCCTGTCTGGTTATACTTCTCATCAGCTATACCCACTAGAACCCCATCTACAAAAGCTTAAAGACGAAACAGATTAGTGACACATAAGAAAAAGTTTGGGGACCATTAAATTATGTTTATATACCTTTATTATCCATTAGCTAATTTGCAAGAACATCCAAAAGAGATAAATAATGCTGTGGCTTATAAACAATGATCTGAAGACACGCTAATCTGGACCAATGGTAGAAGGACCTGTATCAGGTTGCTTTTTTAGGCCACCATAAAGCAGTGAGAACAGATTAAATTCTCTAGGTTTCTAGATAAGGGAGAATTAAGAAACAGGGTCACATAGAATTCACTATCTGCTTGAATATTAATATTTCAGAGAAAGTCTGGAAACAGATAATGGTGCTAATCTTTCCTAATTTTAGGGCACCCAGGGAAAAACCTCAGTAAATTAAAAATTATCTTTTTATTTATGTCTATGTTTCATCTAATTAGACAAACTCTCAAAATCTTCAAAAGCAGACATCGGTCTTTTTATAATTATTTATTAATTTACATCTTAATTTCTGCTACATAGTACAACTCCTTTACCCTAGTACTTCTCCATTAAATAGCAAGTTAAATCATACTGTTTCCCTACAGAATAATGCAGCCTACACTTTGAATATCACAATTTGTCATCATTTCCTTCTCTACTTCTGGTGGTTCCTGAATATTCTTTCATTGTGTGACTGTTACCCCACAGTAATAAAAATGGTGATGAGTCATCATCTAAAGATATGTTAAACACTCAAACACCAGGTGTTAATCTATTAATATTTTTTGGTTAAAAATATTCTTTAAATTTATATTTAAATGACATCTTCTTTTTCTGGAATAAGTATAGACATTTTCTTATGAAAATCTGTAGGAAGAAAAGTTTGAACACAAACTGGTTTGAGTTCAAACTTTGCAAGAATTCATACACTCTTATTTGTAAATGATAGCGATTATTATCTTCAGGAGAAAGGAGAAGTTTCTCATAACTTGGAAAGGAAGGTAAAAAATATTCAGCTTTGATTACAATCAATTACATCACGAAATACAAAGTAAAATATTGTCATACTTCATAACTTGGCTGGCTTACATGGTTAAGTAATGTGAAGAGTAAGATTACCACAGTATATAAAGAGATTCTGCCCTGTTAGGGATGAGGTTTTACATGAGTTTTTTTCTAATGATAAAATAAAAACTAAAAATGATAGGAGAGATATTCTTGGTCTGGTAACTGAGTCCACTTCAAGGTCATAATTTTTACTAAGGCCATCATGATTATAAAATTATGCTTGGTGAAACACTCTTGGAGGCAACTATGGAGCAGAGAGAGGATGGGGTCCTAGGGTTCCCTTCTCTATGTCTCTACTTCTGGGCAGACTTTGTTTTAAAAATTGGGCTTCCACGTAAAAGTCTGTTTGAATAAAAGTTTGCTGCACTTTCCACCTAAGAAAGTTTGACTTTCAGAAGTCTGTCCAATTACACAAGTAATTCAAATTCTTTTGATGGTTTATAAAGCAGGCAGTTTCTTCAGATTTCCCATGTACAGCAAAAACTTAATGACTAGGTTTTTAACAACTGGATCAAAGTGCATTTTCTCCCCTTTAAAATACTGAGAGGAATAAGATAGGTTCTCTTAGGGGGGGAAATCCTAGTTTGTATCCTTTAATAAAAGAACAAATTTTTAGACCATCAACATCAGTCACTTCAAACCAGTTATTGACCCAAATCACGGTATTACAAAGTTAAAAAAAAATTAAGAAAAAAATGACTGCATCACACGTAAACACACCCATATCCAGAATCACTTTTAGCATATACCATTCAGCATTGTGATGAGAAGTTGAAACCATCTGTGGAAAATCAATCATGGTGATGTGGTCATCTTTATCCAAAATGAGATTGAATTCATTGAAATCTCCATGAATCAGTCCATGATTTGCAAGTTTGACAATTAGGTCCATAGCTTCATCATATACAGATGCAGGGTCTTCAACATGGTGTATCTGACATCTGAAAGTGTGAAAACAGGTTATTTATATTCATTTATGATTTTCATGAAAGCAGGCATGCGTATTATTTTTTCCATTTCTTAATTCCCTATCAGCTTTCTCTTCATTTCTATTAGCACACAGACAAGATGTAACAGCTCCCACATATTAAAAAAAAAAAAAAGCCACACCCTGTCTCAACTCTATATTCTTTTTCTACTACATACTTTCATGGATAATTACAGCCCAACTCCTCTACATGTACTTACTTCATTTTTTCCCTCCCATTCTAATGAACTCATTTTAAACAGGTTTTCATCTACTTCGTTTGAATGCAATAGGTAGAGTCAAAACTACCAATGATTTCCATGTTGCCAAATCCAGTGGTCAATTCAGACTTCATCATATGCGGTCTCTCAGTTAACCTCTTCCCCTCCGCCCCCCCGCCCCGCACCCCCACTGAAATGCTTCCTTCACTTGACTCTTGGTACACCAACTCTTCAGGCTGTCCTCTTTCCACGTTTATCATTCCTTCTCAGTCTTTTTCACTAGTTCTTCATCTTTCCCCAGACATTTAAACTTTGGAGCTCAAAGGTTAATACTAGGAGCCTTTATTTAGAATAATTCTTGGTGATCTCATTTACGCTGTTGGCTTTAAACACCTCAATCTATACTTCTCTGAACTCCAAGGCATCTCAAACTTAAGCATGTCCCATACTGAACCTCTGATTCTATCCCATCCTCTAACTCCAAGCTGCTCTTCCTGCAGCCTTTCTCATTTCTGTAAATGACAACTTTGTACCTCCAATTAATTTGTTGTTCGGGCCCCAAATCTTGGTGTTATCCTTGACTTTCCCTTTCTTCATATTGATATCCAATCCCTAACAAATCGTGTTGGTTCTACCTGCAAAACATATTCAGAATCTAACCACTTTTTATCACCTTCACATCCACAACTCTGATCTAAACAACCATCATCTCTTGACTGGATTATTGCAATAATTTCCTAGCTTTTCTTCCTAATTCTGTCCTTGTCACCTTTCAATCTATTCTCAAAACAAAAGCCACAGCGATTCTATTAAAACATTAGTCACATCATGCCTCTTCTCAGTTCAAATTCCTCCAATGGATTCCTATCCAAAACAAAATAAAAAAGCCTTGTGCTATTGCTACAATGACAATGACACTGCAATATATAAACATATGAAATCAACATGCTGTACAATTTAAATTTGTATGTCAAATGTACTAAAAAAGAAACTAAAAGTTCCTTGCAATTGCCTACAAACCTTAAATGATCTAGTCCCCTGTTGCCTCTCTGATCTCATCACTTTTTATCTCTGCCCTCATCCACTCAACTCCAGCCACACTAGCCTCCTCACTGCTTCCTGAACATGCAGGCATGCTCCAATCCCAGGATTTATGTACTTTGCTGGTGCCTTTGTCTGGATCTCTTAGATATCTGCATGGTTTTCTCTCTCACTTATTTTAGGATTATGCTCAAAAATACTTTATCAATGAGACTCTTCCTGACCATTTCATGTAAAATAGCAGTTTCCTCCACTCACCTCAGTACTCCCTGTCCCCTTACCTACTTTATTTTTATCTATAACATTTTCTACCATCTGATAATCATGTATTTCCTTGTTTAGCTATTTACTGCATGTCTCTTTCTATCAGAACATAAACTCTATGAAGGCAGAGATTTTGTTTTGTTCACTGGTAGGCCTACTAAAACAGTGCTTAGTATATACTAGATTACTAATAAATACATGCTGAATAAATTACAGAGATTACAAAATTCATACTATCAGAACAAAATTGAATTTTTAATTTGCATGTGAGACTATTGTTTTGTGGTAATTTCTAACCTTCCAGAAGCAATATTTCATTTAATTAAAAATATTTTTTGAAAACTAAACTTTACATTTATTTATTAGAATCCAGAGTTTCAAGAATAATAAATACTTACAGAGGATAGCCACTTACGAGTTCCATTACCACTGCATGGCGATTATAATCAATCGGTTTTGGGACTGGAAATTTCCTCTCATACAATGCCTAAAATATAGCAAAACAGGTATAAACTAAAGAAGAGGTCATTAATATTTAAGGTAAAATAAAAGTAAACATACCTGCCCAAAACTAGAAGAAACATACAAGATTTTACAAAATTACACGTGATTATTTATGGCTTATTCACAGCACAAAATGAGCTACACATAAAATAAAATTTTAAACCAGTTAACAATTCACTTTTTCACCAAACGCTAATTTACTGAACATTTACTAAATATTATACATGGTGCTAGGGTTACAGAAATGAATGTAAAAAAGCCTGTCCCCAAGAAGCCTATAATCTTCTAGGATATACCCTCTTCATTTTATTTATTTTTTTATTATACTTATTATTATTATTATTTTTTTTTTAATTTTTTTTTCAACGTTTATTTATTTTTGCGACAGAGAGAGACAGAGCATGAACGGGGGAGGGGCAGAGAGAGAGGGAGACACAGAATCGGAAACAGGCTCCAGGCTCTGAGCCATCAGCCCAGAGCCTGACGCGGGGCTCGAACTCATGGACCGCGAGATCGTGACCTGGCTGAAGTCGGACGCTTAACCGACTGCGCCACCCAGGCGCCCCTATACTTATTATTTTTTAATCTTTATTTTAATTAGGCTCCATGTCCAATGTGGGGCTTGAACTCATGATCAACAGTCACACTCTCTACCAACTGAGCCAGCCAGGCACCCCAGGATATATCCTCCTATTTTTTTACATTTCTGCCATCAATTGGGAGTGTGCTTAAAAATTCAAATGGAAATAAACTGTGAGTGAGGAAATATTCTTGTCTTCTGGCAGATTAGAAAATGAAATATCCCAAAAGATCAGGTATTGTAGCTTACAGAGCATTGACCTTTTTCTTCAGACCACAATATACAATGTAAATTATGTAACAAATATACACAGTAGTAGTCTGAGTCATATTACTTCAGATCATCCATAAATCCATCTGTTCTTAACTTCTTATGCTTAACTTCTTCTACCTTTTGCTTACAAAGTCCTGTTATTACTTCCTCCAAAATATGTTAGGTTTATGCTCTCTGCAATTTGGAATGTTACCATTTGAAAGTAGGCCTTTGTTATTTATACCTGATTGCTCTAACAGTGGTTCTAGCTCTTGCCACCATAACTAACCTTTATTTTGGGTACCAATACCAAACTAAAATACTTAGGTCAATGCTCCATTCAGAACAATCTACAATGTTTATAAATATTGATTTCAGTCTCAACAACTTTTCCTAGTTTTCAGAACTCTCTTTAATCCACATATCAGGTCCTAGTTTTCCCAATACTCTTTTTAAAAAATATATATATTATATGTATATAATATATTTATATTATAAACATAATATATATAACAGTCTATGGAATATTTATATTACACACAATATATTACATATATAACATACACATATATATAATGCAAATATATACTATATATAATATATACATGTCTATATTTATAATATATAGACATATATAATATATATTGTATATATATAATATGTATTATATATGATATACATGTATATAATGTACATATATAATGATCATTTATTTTTGAAAGAGAGACAGAGACAGAGGGTGAGCAGGGGAGGGGCAGAGAAAGAGAGAGACACAGAATCTGAAGCAAGCTCCAGGCTCTGAGCTGTCAGCACAGAGCTCCTTTGCAAAGAACACTGTCTTACTATTTTATCCTTAGAGACAAATCATATGCATGCTTCATGACTCTACTCAACTCCTACTTGCTTTATGAAACCTCTTTCATCAACTATTCTACTTTACAGAAGTTTCTCTAAGCTTAACATATAATTTAATTTTTAAATGTTTCTTTATGTATATTTGTGTTATATTCCCAACTTATAGATGCTTGACTTCATTACTTATTCCTTTGGTAGCCACACTTTTAGCCCACCCTATGCCAGGTACTTAACACAGTGTGGTAGGCATACAATTCATACTCTGTACATATTTATGAATAGGGCTAATTTCATAAAGCATTTATTTCCTATCTTCCTTGCTGAGGAACTGAACTCCACTCCCCAAAGATTTTTGTTTGTTTGGCTTTGAAGATTTTTTTCAGTACAAGTAGTTCTGAACATGCTTTGGCAGCTCAATAGCATATAACCTTAACTACTGTCATAATGGTCTAGCTCTTGCACTATGGCTTACTCCCTAATCTTATTTTATCTAATTAAATTTAATCTTACTCCCTCCTAGGAAAAAAGAGAATAAATTTAAGGAGCTATTGATGCACAGTCTGCTTCTATTCTAGTATCTTCATATAAACATCTGAGAAAACACCTAATACAGTTTTAGGAAAATGTGTAATAATCTCTACCAAACTGCTTATTTACTGAATATTATAAGACACAAACCATTAGTATATAAGACAAGAAACACATAACATGTATGGTATCAGTATCAGCTATTTACATTGTCTTCAGAATTCTTCCCCCATAACTACTAAAAATTTAAGCACATGAATTAACCTACTCAACACCAAAATGCAACTTCCAAAACTTTCATTTACAAATCACATACTATAGCATTATGTATGTAAATTATGTACATATGTATGTATGTACTTTTAGTAAACTCCATACCCAATGTGGGGCTCAAACTCATAACCCGGAAATCAAGAGTTGCATGCTCTTTTGACTGAGCCAGCTAGTGCCCCGAGGGTGACTTTTAATAATGTAAAATTTTAAAAAGTGAAGTTAAGTAGTAACAAATAAATACTACTGGAGAATAATAAAAATACAGTATTATTTTCTGTTTAATTTAAATGTTATAGAAGATATATATTTTGATTATTAAAGAAACTTAACAAATATATTCTGAACTTAATTTTGAAGTTAAAAGATGAAAACCTAAAGATTTTTACCATTCCTAATATGCATGCAAATTTGTACATCAACATTTCTTCTCCATTAAGTGAAGGAAAGGTACTAGTCAACTTAGCTGAGACACTAAGGTTTCTACAGATAATCACTAGAGGTAATTCCCTGGGGTTTTCAACTGGAGACAAACATATGCATATTTATGTATACTAAATAGATACATATTCACACACACACTTTTGTGAGGCAATTACATCACTAATTACTTAAAGCTATTTGTTAATTTGCATTGTAATACCTTATTAATACTGTAGAATACTTGTTGCCTTTATGCATTGATAACGATTAAAAATGCCTTCACATAGAAAAAAAAATCACCAGAAAAACAAATAACAAAAATAATTAACAGTTAAAACTAAGTGTAATGACTGGGACTGGGGGTAGAGAGATGTGGGGAAAATAGACTGGTAAATGTCACTACGCCCTTTCAGTTACATGTATTATTTGGTTAAGAGACATAAAATTATTTACAAAATACCTTCATGTAAGCAAATTCTTTCATGGCAGAGAGACGAGATAAATAAAGCCAAGACATGTTATGCCTGTGTTTATGATAATCACGCTTGTTTTTCAGATTTCGAAAGGAGGTTCTTCCCAGCCTATGAAGCTTTAATGCAAATTGCTGCCCTTCTTCATTTGCAACAACGTAAATATCTAGAGCCAAGATGTAAAAAAGAGCATTATTATACTTTCATTCCAAAAAGTTCACTTGTAATTTCCTAATTTTGATTTTATTTACATCAATTATATCTTTCCTAATAACCACGAATACTTACTACTCAGCAAAATTATTTTAACTGCAATCCAAAATAAAATGACATGTATTAATATCTACTACAAAAGAAAAGAGGGATGTTGTGTGTCAAAGGTTATTACTTCCAAAGGTGCTCAACACTCAATTCAATTTAGTGGGAAAAATGTAATTGTCTTTTAGCATCCTACACGTATAAGAAGCAATTTAATATTTTCTTTTTCAACAACACAAAGTTCAATTCTTTAACTGCTTCAATAAATAATATTCAGTTGTTAGAATATAATCCTATAGTAATCAGAATGGAGATATTCCCCTAAGTATTCCAATTATCAATAAAAGTCGGTATTTGTTAATACTGACATTTAAAACATGTCCTAATTATTCATAAGGATTTTAATTATTACACATCAACAAACTATCTCTCACATTGGCAGGATTATAAACTGGTGTAAACTTTTGAAGGGAAATCTGATAATATCAAAAATTTAAATGTACTAACTTTTGTGCTAATAATTCAATTTCTAAGACTGTATTTACAAATTTATTTGTACATGTGCACAGAGGCATGTGTACAAGGGTGTCTACCACATCATTATCTACAAAAGAAAAGGTGAAGTAACATAAATGTCCATAACAGCTGGGACTGGTAAATTCAATTACAGAGCACTCATACCATGTAATACTCTACATAACTATGAGAAAGATCTATCTGTTAACATGAAATGATATCAGAAACGCATCCAGGGACACCTGGCTGGCTCAGTCAGTATGGTATGGGACTCTTGATCTCGGGGTTGTAAGTTTGAGTCCCACATTGGGTATAGAGATTACTTAAAAATAAAATCTTAAAAAAAAAAAAACCCAAATCAAATGAATCAAATGGAAAAAAATCAAGTAATATTTGCTTTTACCTGTGATTAAAAAGATATATATATGTATATATACATATTTTCAATGCATTATATACTATTATTTACATAGACTATTCCAAGAAGGATATATAAGACAGTAGTCAACAGTAACAGCTTTCAAAAGTATGACAACAGATGGAGACCTGGTTAGGATAAAGTTTTACTTTTTATTTTACTTTCTTTTGTACTATTTATGATTTATACAGTGAAGTTCTTATAAACAAAAAAATGTTATTTTTTAAATGAAAAAATTGGACATAAGAGGCAGCCTATCTAAAAAGAGGTGTTAAATTACCTCATTTTACACATTTCTCTCTCTCTCTCTCTCTCACACACACACACTGCTGTATTTAGCAATCTTGCATTATGTATTTGTTCAATGCTATTTTAGAATGCTTTTTTCTGTGTTCTACACATACTTAATTTTGCCATATTTCTGCGGTAGAAAAATGTGTTGTAGCTTTTAGTCACTGTCTTCTAATACTTCCTTGTGTTACATATTTTAACTCTTACAAATGTCCATTTATATAACATATAAAAGAACAAATAATATATTTGCCAAAGAGGTCAGTTATTAGCGGAAAATGAATTCTTGGTATAACTGAATTTTCAATGAGACTTATGAAAAACAATAACCTACCAAACTAAGAGTAATTTCATCAACTTTACTGCTTCCAACTAACTTTTCAATTCACTGCTTAGCTGAAAAAAATGGAAAAATTTAAAAGATATGTTTTCTCAGGGCACCTGGGTGGTTCAGTTGGATAAGTGTCTGACTCTTGGTTTTGGCCCAGTTAATCATCTCATACTTTGGTTCATGGGATGCAGCACCACATCAGGCTCTGTGCTAACAGTGGCAGAGTCTGCTTGGGATGTTCTCTTTCACTCTCTCTCTGGCCCTCCCCCTGCTCATGCTGGCAGGTGCACTCTCTCAAAATAAATAAATAAACATTAAAAAAAAAAAAAAGATAATGCTTTCTCAAAGAGAAATATAAAGAGAAACTAAAGCAAAGAAAATGAGTTCAGTAGTACTGTTAGCACTTACCAGATTCTTTGCCAACACCTATCTGGTTTCCAACAGATTCAACTACCTGTCTAGAAGAAAGTGTTTTCAAAGCTAGGTAATCATATCCTGCATTTGTCAACCGATAGCCCTGGACAGCTAGACAAAATAAAATGAGAAAGACTGTATTTTAGTTACATCGCACAATCAAGTCACATTAATTCAAGTCATGAGAAGAATTTAAACAGTAAGAAGTCTTAGCTGAAAAGATTAGCTTACCCAGTCCTATGACTTTGGCATTTCTTCCTATAATTTGTATTTTCTCTCTAGAGAGGTGTTACTCAAAGCATAACTCACAGACTGACACCAGTCTATATATACTACTAGTTTGTGATAAGACACAGAAACTGAATGAAGTGGTTAAGTTCAGTATTTTTTAAATCACTTTCACCAAGCTTTTTTTTTTAATGTCTTTAGCTCCAATAAGGAATTTGTGCCTGTATTTTATCAGTTTTTAAATTTCATTTTTCTAGTAATTACTTTTTAACTGTTATTTTATAATAAAGTATGGCTCCATGGCAGGTTGAAAGAAACAAACTCATTCCTCACCATGGATAATTTGAGAGTTAATGCTCTAGAGTCCTGTGGCAAATTTTCCAAAGATTGTGGCAACAATTATCTCTATCCTATTTGCTCTTCTGCAATTGGAATTTGTTATGAGGAGATAGAGACTATTTCTTTACTCTGTTTATCTGGGTGGGCCCTGTGACTACTCTAATAAAACATGGTAAAAGTATGTGGGTTTTCGGGTCTAGATAGAGTGTTTTGCTGTTCTCGCAACTTTGATTTTCTACCTTTTTAAATGCCTGCTCTGCAAATAAAATAAAATAAAATAAAATGACTGCTCTGGGGAAAGCCAGTTATATGAAAAATCACAAATGGTGCCATAAATACTTACTTTTGGTACGTTCCCAAGCTATGAGTTTATGTTTCACTAATTCTCTTAAAACTTTATTACAGCCACCATGTTTAAGGCTGGCTATAGAAGCAACCAAACTGCAGGGAACTATTTCATGGTTCTTCATGCCCATTTCAACCTGAAATTAAAGGAATTATATGCAATCATAATCAACACAGAGCTACTATCAAAACCTTACTAAGAAGTTAACTTCTCCTTCAAATTTCTCTGATCATGCAGTTCCCCAACCAATTGGAGACATAAGTGATACCTTCTCTGGACATATATTAAATCATAATTTGATATATAATCACTGATATTCATATTCTGCCTCTATACTAAACTATACAGGTAAAAACTGTGAGTGCTTAACAATTACTGACATGTGGCAAATATTAAAATATTTGTTGACATCTAAATGTTTATCTGTAAAAACTATAGGTAGTCCAGATATTTATTAAAAGGTACTTAACATGAAAGTACCATGCAGGAATAGTGGAAGATAGAAAAATATACACAAATAACTCTCAACTCTTTGGAGAATTTATTATCTAATAGTGTAAATAAGAACCGATACATCTAATTTTATTAGAAGGCAAGAAACAGTAAGTGCTAAAAAAGAAGTGGCTCAGGGATGAACAAAAATAATTCTAGCTGAGGGATCAGTTTCAGGAAGAAGTGGCACTTGAGACTGACTGTGAGATGCAGAAAAACAGAAAAAGTACACAAGGGAATATCAGAGAAAGACAAAAGATTTGGACATGGCACATATGTAAGGCAGTACAGAGCACAACAGCTAGTACAGTGGTAGCTCAGATGCAATATTGAGTTCATGAAAGGAAGGCTGTAAAATGCTTTTAAGTAAATATAAAAAGCCTTGAAATGCAGACCAAAGAGTTTCAGATTTCTTTTTAAGAAAAAACGGACCCCCTTGAAGGGTTTACATACGGGTGATATATGAACAGAGATTTTTTAAGGACACTAATCAAGTTCTGGGAGGTCCTTCAAACAAAGATGTTTAAGGTAAAGTGGAAAGATACATCTATACTCAGTAATGAAGTCACAATTAAAGGGAAAAAATTGTCAATTATTTGATAGAGGTAACAGATAAAGCTGCCAAGTGGATGTGATCATCAAGTAAGAGATAATGGAAGACAAAGGAGGGTTGAGAAACAGAATTTGGGGGGAAGTTCACATTAAAAGGTAAGGGTAGCCAGTCAAAGTAGGGTTATTGATGTAGAAGGCGCCTGAGAAGTAAAGGAAGAGAGAGTCAAGGAAAGGTGGCCACTGATAGCAAGGATGGTAAGACTCAACTGAGACTGAAATATTCTATTTAATGAGTAGGTCATTCCTTGGTGAGCCTTAAAGAAGAGTTTAAAATATCACAGAAGTCAAGTTTTGGAAGATAAATCTGGCACTGTTTTGATGTCCCAATCAAAACCTCGTACCTTAACTCATTTTCAGTGCTTTGTTCCATCTCTCCTAGTCTCTAACATTCTTTCTCTTGACTCCCCTATTTCTGTCAGAGGCATTAAGGATTAAGTGAACATGCTGATGAAGCAAAGAAGGAAGGTTATCTACCAGAAGTGACAGATGTATAGAGAAAGTACAGCTGAATTAAATAATCTATGGGAAGAGAAACGTGTCTTCCAAACTTCATAATGAATTTGCATTTGACAGTTTAATCCTTAAGTATTGCCTATTTAAGCAAAAGATGGTATCTTCTAAAAAAAAGTCATTGTTTTATTCTGGGAATGCCTAATCTATGTGTTGCTGATATTTGTGCCATAAGACTATGACCAGTAAAATCAATTTTTGTCACTTCCCTGTTTAAAACATTCAGTGGACTACGCCATTTACCGAAGGCATCGATGCGCCCCATCCCAAACGTGCACAAAATCTCTATTCTATTATTCTCGTTATCATCTCCGTAGCACTTAATATCTGATACTATCCTCCTTATTGGTTTATTTATTCGTTTACTCGATGATCTGTCACTCTTGTCTCGTACCCCGGTGAATTCCCTAAGATTGTCACTAAAAACCAGATAAATAAGCGTTGAGTGAATGAAACTGAATAAATGCTATGTAAGTGAATCTGGGAGTGAGGAACTCAGTGCTATCAATTCTCAAGAGTCTTAAACTCTTGCTCGGGTGGTGGGAAGCCGAGCGTTCAGAGGCTTTCCAGGCCACAGAGAAGCAAGTGTGGCTCTGGAGTACAAGACGGGAGCAGAAAGGAAGGAAATGATTAGAAGAGGGGCCTCTGCTCTGTTTTAGGGGAGATGAAATCTTCCGACCAAAAGCTTCTGAAAAACCCGACTGTCGGGTCTTTTCCCCGTGCCTAGTCTGGGTCTCTTTGGAGGGCCTACAGCGTGCTCGGCTGAGAGCCGAGTTCGAGGAGCAGAGAAGAACCGCGGTGGGAAAGGACAGGGGACAGGGAGAAACGGCGAACATCTTACCGCGGTCAGAACCCTGAAGTCATCCCGGCTCATGTAACGTAACTTGGCCACATTCACTCGCCCCATGGCGGCCCAAGATCAAGCCACAAGTCTCCCTCACAACAGATGAGGAGCACAAGGTAAGCCCACACACCAGCCTCTCTCAAGCCTCTCCACCGCCGCCACCGCCGCCGGATGGTTCGCGCATGCGCTGATCCTTCCTGAAGGTCCTTGTTAATAAATAGAAGAACTAATCTGGCGTGGGAAAATGAAATGCCTTCTGAGTTTTATGATGCATATAGTATGGATCAGTGCAGAGTATTTTTTGTATAGTGACTTTTTCATGTAAACTAACGGACTTTAAAAATTCTCTACAGTATTTCCTTTTATTTTTCATATCTGTCAGGATTGGCTGCCTAAAGGACGCCATCCGTCTGTAAGAACAGAATGGCAACTTAACGGGAGGTGCAAATTTTACCCACAAACAGCAATTCCTCCTTTAGGCAAAGTGAGTTCCAATAAGGGTGGTTGGAAAATGAACCCAAGCGCGCTTAAAAGTAACAACAGTAATTATACAGACATGCCTCCCCTAACAGGACCTGCTGAGAAAAGAGGAAGGCGTGGCTAGAGTGAGAACTCCGTCGCGTTTGCTCAGTATTGGTTTTAGGTTGGTGCTCGAGACTCGGGAGTGCGCTTGCGCCTGGCGGGGGTGGAGTTTAGGCTGTGTGGAACGCAGGCTGTCTTGGTCGCTTCTCCCGCGCATTTCCAGAGAAAGTGGGCCATTTTGACAGGTGGTAACGAATCTCCGAGGATGTTTATCCAAGGCCAAGGAGTAATTTCAGGGCTTTAGGAGAGCCACCCACACTGACCCTGGAACTTTCTACGTCAACAAAAATGATAACCGGAGCAGGACCTTAAACAACTTGCACCTCAGAGGGTGGGTACTCTACCTTCCCTACTAAAGCAACAGGGGTAACAAAACTTGTGTGATATTGTTTGTGTTTATATTTCCTTTCATGAACTACAGTGCCTATTTCAGCTTTGACTCCATTCCCAGCCACTGCTGTTTAGCCTCTCTCTGGATTTGAGGCTTATAACTTTGCAAGTAAACTTTGGAGTCCATTTTTTACAGAGTCCCCTTTTTCCTGCTGGGGTTCCAAGGGGCCAATGTGTCCATTTTCCAACTTTCCAAGGCCTTAGTGAGTATGTTGCTTTGTCCAAACACAGAGTTAGCCTTTTCATAAAACATGCACTGCTGTTCGAAGACAAGCAGTTGAATGTGTGCTTTCATTCCAGTCAGAATAGTTAATAGTCTGAAACCATAGAATACAGGCAGCATAGCAGTCCTCTGTCCCCTCTACACCACAACCTTTGGCTTCTTTTTTCGCTTGAATGCAGTAAGTCTTTGATTAACCATGCTCAACTAATGGAAACCTCCATTGAAATGGAATTTTTCTTTCTGTACTTCACATAAAAATGAAAAGTTTTTAAATAAACCAAATGACTAACCAAATGAGCAAGAGTGAGATGGGAAACACAAGTCGTTTGGTGGCTATTCCTAATCCAACATTTTAGCAGACATTGCTAATCTATTACGGCACAAGCCTTATGTTACTTCTCAACTCTGCCCCAGACAGCCACCACTAGTTGACTGGATTTGGCTCCACTTGCTGCCCTGGTTCTTGGGTAGTCCTTGGGGTTGATCACATTGAGGCTAAATCTCTTCTACTTTCAATATTAAAATATGTTTTTAATATAATCATCTTAATCAGACCCTGGAAGAGTAAAAGTGATGCAAGTACTGTTCAATATTCTGTTCTCTATTGTACCATGCTTAGTAATGACAAACAAAAAATATACAGTATTCTGTCTTCGCTCATTTACCATTTGTGAAATGTATATGCCAAAATTTTTGCTTGGTCCTGGGGAAAGAATCCCAGACCATAAGCCTTGGGGTGGAAGGAGATGAATAAAAAATAAGAGAATAGTGTGACAGAGGTATGAAAAGGATTTAGCACATCATTATTACCTATGCCCATATCTCACCACTATGCCCCCTCTTCCCTCTGCCCCCCTCCCCTCCGGTACCCAGAGTTTGTCCTAACAAGCTGCAGGCGTCTTGTCTATGGATAAAAGTTCAGACTTGTGAGATTAATTCAGACTTCTTAGGCTGGCAGTCACCATCTTCTACAATCTGTATCACTGCTTACTTGCAAGTAGCATATACTCTTAACTAATTGAACTGCTTTGTTTTCTCTTGTACAATTACCTTGATTTCCTGTCTCACTGCCTTTTCCGTTCATCTGTAATGCTCACCTTCCCACCTCTTTTTTCATCTTCTTTCTAGTTACTACATATGTAAATCTGACCTATCACTCTTAATACACTACACATCCCATGAAGCTTTTCTTTTTATTATCTCTATATTGTTTTTCTAGGGTTGCTGTAATAGGCATAAATTTGGTAGTTTAAAACCAGAGAAATTTTGTCTTTCAGTAATGGACCATGCTCCCTCCAGAGGGTCTAAGAGGCAATCTGTTTTTTGCCTCTTTCAGCTTTTGTCACCATTTGGTGCCGACTGGCATTTCTTGGCTTATAGTTGCATCACTCCATCTCTGTCTCTGTAGTCACATTGCGTCCTCCACTTCTGTGTGTTTCCCTCTGTTGCTACCTTACAAAAACACATGTCATTGCATTTAGGGCCCTTTCAGATCTTTAATCACATCTGCAAAGGTTTTTTTGTTTTTGTTTTGTTTTTGTTTTTCCCTAGAGGATAAATTCATAGATTCTAGGGATTAGAACATGTATATCTTTTTTGGGGGGCAGGGTCATTATTCAACCTATCATAACTTCAAAGGCAAGTAAACTCTTCCTCCTTTAATCTTCTGTAGCTTTTTATCTTTAATGATCCTGGCCACTTTTTAATGACCCCCCCTTAGCTAGAAATTAGATTAACTGGACAAAATTTGACACAAAGAGATTCAATAAAAAGTTTAAAGTCAAGGAAAATAAAAATTATGTATTTATGTTTAAGATATTATAGTCAATGTCAGAAAAAATTGTGATAGACTTTACTGCACATGGGCTATAGTGCCATATATGTTTGGGTATTGGAACTATCAGTGGTAGGAAAACACATAGTATGGGATATATGGATATGTGGAATTTATGGAAAATTCCAATGAGAAACTCACAGGTGGACTTGAAGGGTTCTGGAGCATGGCATAATATGCAGCAGAGATATATATAAATTTTGAAAAGCAGCTTTGTGCATATGCAGATCCCTGAGAGAGATGGAGTGCCTGACATTGAGATACTAGGTGATATTGTACCCACAACTGTCCTTCACAAACTGATTTGTTGGTCAGCCATGTTATAAGTTTGGGCAAGCTCAGCAACAGTCCATTATAGGGTTAAAGTGGTTCATTCAGGAGTGAACACAAGTAAGACCAGAGGGCACAAATAAGCTGCATGACCAGGTAGCCTGGATTCCCCTGTCCAAGTGCCTCTCCCTCAGCTCATGCCTCAGTAGGTGATCCCTTAAGATCAACTAGAGAAGGAAAAATAAGGCCACATTTGGTTCATGTATGAATTGGTTTGATATTGTTGAACCGTAGCCCTAATTGGGTGGCCTTAAAAGCTAAGTAAGAGGATATCTTCCTAATGGTCAGAGCCTTGGGAGATGCATCTGGTACTCCACTTTGTTTAGCAAGAGAAATAATCCAAGGTTAGAATACACATGGATTGAGGAATAGTGGTGATTAGCCTGGCTGGTGGGTCAATGGCCTGGAAAGGACAAAAATTTTTAGATTGGGGATAAGGAATTCTGAGATAGAGGCATGAGAATGGGCATATTAGAGTAGACAAGAAGGGTGAAGATCTTTAGATTGCGTAGTAACACCCTCCAGAAAGCATCTGACACAGAAGAGGCACTGAACAACCAGGTGGACTAAAACTATGTCTAGTTGTTGACAGCCAGCCTCTGTCATTGCAACCTGCCACCCCAGTGAAGTCACAATTGGTAAACAAATGAATTAGTGAAGGTAGCAGTGATGGAGGAGGCTAAGCATGGGCTTAACAACATGGACTCTAAATTACGAAGGCTAAAATGGCTACTGCTGTTCCTGAATACCCAATCCACATTCAGACACCAATGCTGAGTATAATGCCATCCCTTGAAGAGACTCATCAGTCACTTGGTATCAGAATGACTACATTGGGCCCCTTCTACCATAAAAGGGCCAGAGACACAGATTCCTCATAGATAAATATTATGGTCATAGGTTTGCTTTTCCTGTCTGCAGAGCCTCAGCTTGCACCAGTATCATAAGGCTTACAGAATGTTTGCTCTTACAGCATGGGACTGCACTTTACTTCAAAGGAGATACCTCAGTATGTATATGACCATGGGATCCCAGCTTATATCACATTCTACACCATTCAGAAGCTGCTGGTATGATGGAATAATGGGGAAGTCTATTTAATGAACAGCCTGTAGAAGGCATTGCTGAAGAGGCAGATCAGAGGTAATACCCTGTGAATTTGGTTGCCATCCTCTAAGAGATCAGTGATATGGTCCTCAGTAGGTTGAATATATAGGCCCAGAAATCAAGGAATGGACACAGTATTGGCTCTACCCACTGTCATTTCCAATAATATGCTTGTGGAATTTCCATCTCAGCAACTCTGGGCTCTGAGGGTTTAGGAGTTTTGGTTTTCAATGGGGAATATTTCTGCCAAGGGACACAGCCAGAGTTCAAATGAATAATTAGCTGTGGCTGCTACCTGCTCTTCAGACTACTTGTTGCAAGAAGACATGGCATGGAAAACCATTGAGACCTTGAGGCAAGTATCTGGATCATGCCACCAGACAAGTCATGGAGATCAGCAGGCATGCCAACTGAAGGTGAGAGTAATCTAAAATGGATAGTAAATGAAGGTAGTATCACTTATAACCCAAGACTAGCTGCAGTGATGTGGACTATAGTTTTTCCCATTAATCTCCCCGAGAAGAGAAATTCATTGGAATCCTGAAGTTGCTTCCAGAATTTAAAGTAGATCCAAGTAGCATACGGGTTGGACTGTGGTGGACACTGTGATGTACCACCCAGCTATTCCCCTCCAGGAATGAAGGACTTACTCCCCCCAGCTCCTGGAAGTGCTGCCAGCAGAAAATGCTCAGCAGTCAGCCTCCACTTGGATTGCAT